AGGGAAATGTAGAGACATGGGAAAGAGAAATTGCAATGTTGGTTCAGATCAGTGGCCCTTTTTCTCCAGCCTCCTGCATCTGACAGTGACCAGCAACACCTTCAGAGAAAGATGCAGAAATCTACAGTGAGTAGTTATAGAAGAAACTTCTCATGGGGAAAACCAATCCTAATGCAGAATCATGGGCCACCCTGCTGACCAACTGAAGCCATGTAGAACTTTAGCTATTTGTTTATGTATTGTCCCATAGACTCTTTATAATCCATTATATCGCTTTTCCTTTTTGCTCCACAATAGCATCCTAGGTACTTTGGACATTTTTACACACACAAGCGCTGGGCGCTTTGAAAAGCACCCAGCGCTGCAACGCTTATAGTTGTATAAATGGCAAAATGCGCATCAGTGCTGAGAAAATGGCAGTGGTGCACTTTTGAACTAAAACACCTTGGAAGTGCTTTAGTTCAAAAGCGCAGCGCTGCCATTTTCTGCATAGAATTTGCCACTTATACAACTGAATGGATGCAGCAGTTTTCCTCAGCTTGCATGTAGAGTCTCTGAAGCAGTGGATCTCCAGCACGTCACGGGGAAAAAAATATATAAATGCCCTTTGTTTGCAAGTTCCTTGAGAATGCATGTGTGCATTTCTTCTGAGTCTAACAGCTTTCCTATCCCCTCTCTTTTGACAGCTCAGTCTGTGATCATGTTCCATCTTTCCTGTCTGAAAAGGGGTACTATCTTCTGAATATTTTCTCTGAAGAATGATTTAAAACAGTCATTTAGTTTCTCTTAAATGTCTTTTATCTGTTTTGGTTTATTTGATAATGCCCTGCGAGTTCCCATTTATTCTCTCACAAGACGTCTGCTTCTGATATATTTAAAATTTTTTTTTATGTGTTTGTTTGCTTGTCAGTCTCTTAGCTTTCCTGATTTCTATCTTAAATTTTTACCTGCTATCATGAAGTTGTTTACTGCTAAAATTCCATTAAAAATGGAGAAATAAATATGAAAGCAGCCTTCAAATCATCGTCCATTGTAGTAGCAATACTGTAAGATTTTAATTTTTGTGTCCTGAAGGATGCAAAGTAGTATGTATTTGCCAAAACACGGTGAGTAAGGAAACAATTTTTAAAAATAGTCTCTAATGGTGTATTCACTGTTTGCACCTTCACTGAATTATTTAATCATGTAGTAAAATTGTTTCTGAACTCAGTTAAGCACAGAGAACATATTTCTGTAAAGGCAGCAGTTGAAAATGTAATTCCTGTAAAATATTGGACTTGTCTACATGATCTATGTTTAAGTTACTTGTTCTCTGGGTTTGTTGAGTGGTGATATTTTCGCATAGTAACTTGCAGTTTGCATTTTATTTTTGCTACAACACTTGGGAAGTGATTGGGATAAGTGATTTGAGGAAGAGGAACAACGATCTCTTACTAAAAAAGGGGTTTAGATAATATCACAAAGAATTGACTTTAACTCAGCCCATGTCAGTTAAGTCTTTTTAGTTTGTAGCATTTCCATTTGAACTGTAACTACTTACTTCTTCAAACAGGCATCCTTTGGTACATATATTGCCCAGGCCCCACTGCAGTTATGCGTGTAGCAATACTGGCCCAGACTTCTAGAGTATTAGAAGCTGTTACAGGCAGAAAAGTGCTTTTGGCAGAATAGTTGATATTAGTCCAGCAAGCAAAATAAGCCGTACTGGTAAAAGCACTTTACAGCCAGTATGATGGTGCTTGTGTTGGGGCTTCTGTCAGTTCAGACTGTAACGAAGAAGTCCCACATGCCTAACTGACATGACAGTAGGAGCAAGTTTTTAGAATAGACCTGGCCTGTGAGAGTGCTTTTCCCATATATTCATGTATTTCATATAAAAGTATGCCCCTTCCCCAACCCGAGTGCTTATTCATCAGCTGCATTTCTTGTTTGTGTCTTAGCACAAATCAGATTTAGCATGTTGTGAACAAATTGAACTGAGGGGACAAACATGTGAAGGAGAAGAAATTTGTAGATGGTTAGTATACCACTGCTAGGAGCCTGATTAGCAAACAAGAGGAATTGGAAATCCTTAATGAAAGGAAACTTGATATAGTTGGCCTTACAAATCATCCTACAAGATTTCAGTACAATTTGGATATTAAAATTACTAGTTATAACCCATTGAAAAAAAAGATAAGAGTTGATAGAGGACTCGTCTAAAAATAACGATGCACCACTGGGACTGTGCAGTACTTGTGGTACTGCGTGCGTAGCCATTTGGTACTTGCTTTAACAAGTACTAAATGCACAGTCCCTGGCATATATAGGTGTGCCCAGTATGGGGTAACTTGATTTTTGGACCTCAGTATGAGAGAAAAGATTTAATCACTAAACTGAAAATTGGTAGTTGCCTACAGGCCAGTAATCATGACTTGGTAACATATGATATGGGCAGGCAGAGGACATTTAAAAAATAAGCTTAGGAAAATTATAAGCACAATTTGTTGGGAGGAAAAATTTAGCCATGGAAACAAATGAAAATTGAGAAGTCCTTTAAGAAGGATTCAGCAAGAAATCAAGGAAAAGGACAACTTGATCAGAAATCTGTCCTGGTTTGTTGTTCACCTGAAGGCAAACCTGGCAGTGGGGAGAGCAATATATAGTAAATAGGAAAAACGATAAATAGATAGTAAGACCGATTATATATTAGAAAACATGACATGGAAAATAGTTTAAGGAAATTAAAAATAAAGGAGGAAGGAAAATTCATGGCAGGCCTGATTTAAGGATGGTAAAGAATTTTAACTGTATAAAGAACAAAAAGGAATCCTAGCAATAGCACAGGCCCATTACTAGTAGAATATGGTAAAATTTAACAATTTTGTAGAAAATGGCTGAAATATTTAGAGAGAAGCAGGATGATGTACATGTAGCATATGAAGATGAAAGTAGCTTCCAGGCTGTTAATTAAACAAGGAAGATGTCACGTAGTAGGGATAAACATCAGGGCCAGATGACCTGCATCCTAGAGTTCTGCATAGGGGTGCACTGATAGAGATTTTTGGGGGGGTTGATACTGATAGTCGATTTTTAAGGTGGCATATCAGCCAATACCAGTCTGATTTCTGATACACAGCCTGGCAGCTTGAAGAACTGTGTGCAGCTGTTAAGTCTGTTGTGGTGGAAGGGGAGGGGGAGGGAAGGGGTGTGGGGGGGAGGATCAAGGCCCTTGTGGTGAAGGAGGGAGTAGGGCTGGGGCAGGTGCTGCCCGGTTGGGGTGGGACGGGGGGGGGGACATGTACCCCCGGATCTGCGCGGGGGGGGCGGGCTACAGCTGTGGGCTGGGACTGGGGAAGCACTGGGCTTTTCCCAGTGGGGGCTGGCCTGCAGCCACCCCAAAACTTGCCATAGCCCCCTCAACCCCCCTCCCAGTGCCACTGCCTGCCCTGAGCACAGCCCAACCCAACCCCCCACACACGCATGGGAAGAGTCTGGCACAGCCCCAGCCCACAGATGCAGCCCAGCCCACCTGTACCCCATGCAGATCTGGGTGCACACCCCACCCTCCCTGGTGACCTCCCAGGGTATGTGCAGTGGCAGGAGCTGCCCTCCCCGCACGAGCTGAGGCTCCATCCTACGCCCTGCCCCACCCTGGCTGGGCAGTGCCTGTTCCAGCCCAGCCCAGCCCCATTCCTTCTCTCACCACAGGGGCCTTGATCTTTTCCCTCATGCCCCTTCCCTCTCCCTTCTTCCCCCTCCACCACAGCAGACTTACCAGCTGCATGCAGCTCTCCAAGTTGCAAGGCCACCTACCTGCTGTGCTGCGGCTGCACAAATGCACGGCATTTATTGGCCAAATTATTGGCAACATCAGGCCCAATTTCTGATAGTCAGTTTTCTTTATATCAATGCCAATCCGATATCAGACCGATGTATTGGTGCATCTCTAGTTCTGCAAGAACCAGTTGAGGAGATCTCTGGCCCACTCAGTTAAATGTATTATTGTGGATTTTTGCAGGAAGAAGACTGGAAGAGAATTATTATTGTGCTGGTATTCCAAAAGGGCAAGCTGGATGAGTTGGGGAGATGCAGATAAGTTGTCCAGATCTCAGTGCTGGGCAAAAGGGTGAAAAGCATGATTCAGCTAGTAAAAGTTGAAGGATAGGAATTTAATTCATGCCAGGCAACCCTGCTTTGTGGGAAATGGGTCTTGGCAACAAACCTGATTTTTTTTTTCCTGGCAGGTAGAAGTTTAGTGGATAACGGTCGGTGTGTAGATATAATAGACTATTGTAAGATGTTTGATTTAGTGTTGCACAACATGCTTATTAAAAATTAGCAGTATACAGTAACAATAAAGCACAGGTTAAATGGATTACAAGGTAGCTGAGTGGCACCTCAGTAGGTGGTGATGGGGTTAAGTAATCATATGGTCATGTTGCTCATGGGGGTTTTATAGGACTCTACTGGAATTGGATAGTTAACATTTTCAAGGATCTGAAAGTAAATACAAAATTAGTGCTGAAAAAAATTTCCAGACAGCATGCAGGATGGTAGAATTGTGGATAATTAGGAAGGGAGAACCATCACGGGGAGAAATCTGAATGGTTTAATAAACTGGACTTAATTCAAACAAATGTGTTTTAGTTATGCCAGATGTAAAAGTGATATTTGGCCTTTCAGAGACAAGGAAAGCAGGCCCAAGTATTTTGGGGTGGACTACAGCCACCCCAAAATTTGCCGTAGTCACCCACCACTGCTGCCACGCCCCCCCCCCCCCCCCCCCCCTGCCACTGCCTGCCTGCCCCAAGTGCAGCTCCAACCCAGCCCTGAGAGCTCAGTGGGCAGCCTGTCCTCACCCCATGCATAGATCTGGGGCGGGGGCAACTTACCCCCCCGCCCCATGCCTCTCCCGAGGGTGTGTGGAGGTGAGCCACCCTCCCCACAACCCCCCCATGCCCCTTGGATGAGCTACTCATAGGGTTGCATTCACAGCCTTTCCTGGGCAGCCTCTGAACCACTCCCTGCCCCCTGCCATGCCCCCCCCCTCCCCCCCCGACTTACCAGCCAAACACTACTCTCTGAGCTGCTGGGCTACGTTCTTGTAAATCAGCTATCGGATCAATATCAGCCAATATAGCTGGCTAATAATTGGCCATCGGTATCGGCTAAGAAAATCTTTATCGGTGCACCCCTAGAGAAAGACATAATGAGAACCAATGGCAGGAAGCTGAAGTTAGGTACTTAAATGAGAAATAAAGTTCATTTTTAACTGTGAATGCATGGAAAAATAATCTGATCAAAACAGGTGGTAGACTTGCTGTGGAACAGCTGGCACATGGTAAGTGTGCTTGCAGTTACCCTGGTTAATCTTTCTTTTAGCATGGGTAAATTGCTGGTATGTGAACATAAGCATCAGGTGTTCTTTAGGCAAGTCTTTACCCTCATGAACTTGCTTTAATTTGATTGTTTGTCCATCACCTAAGGAAACAAACTTATGAGGGAAATAATTGATTCTTCATCTTTTTATTACAAAAAAGAGACTGGATAAAGAAACAGTTCAGTCAAACATGAGTTCCTGCACTGAACCCAGGTTAACTGAGGGAAGTGCAACATCCTGTGATGTACAGGAGATAAAGACTGGATGATCTAGTGTTCTCTTCTGGCCTTTAATGAAGAGCTTCACACGCATTCCAGCCCTCTCCCTCATCCTTCCTTTTATCCTTTGTTGATCTGTCCTGTTATATTAACCTCCGAAGAGTTATTTTGGGATTGGGTCTGAACTCTTTCCAATCTCTTGCAGGAAATGCCATAGTTGCTTGTATTGACAAAAGTTTGCAGAGGACTGTGACTACCTGTGGTGTTTCATTGCATTTTGCTGTATGTATCCTAGTGTATGTAGTTGTTTATATTATTTGTCTTCACCTTCTAACAGGTGAGTGAAAGTGCATCAGGCAACAGTGAGGATTACGAGAGCGAAGAGGAAGTGAAAAAAAATAAGCAAACAACTAGCCAGAGAAGAAGTGCTGGAAAATCCAAGAAGAGAAGAGTGTTGGACTCTGACACTGATAATGAAGGTTCAGATGTGGAGTTTAAGCCAGATGCTAAAAATGAAGCAAGCAGCGATGAAGACAGCAGTGGAGTGGATGAAGGTGAATCTGGAGACTCTGAGCCAGACACAGAGATGGATGTAGAAAGTCCCGTTAAAGTTGCCCCTAAACGAAAGAGACTAGCCATAAACAGACCAGCTAAAAGGAGGAGCTTGGAGAATGACCTTCCCGAGGCACCCAAAAGAGTGGTAACTATGTCTTCAGAAACCAAGTCCAAGCTGACATCTTTTGCAGCACCTGAAAGCTTCGACTCTCAGCCAAACGCGGGCAGCGGAGGAGTTGGCAGTTCTGTGGAATGGGAGCACGAGAAGTTTGAATGGCTCCGTGAAGGAAAAAGGAGAGATGGATGCAGGAGGCGGCAGGGTGACCCCAGTTATGACCCGTGCACCCTCTATGTGCCGGAGGACCACCTGAACAAATGTACCCCTGGAATGCGAAAGTGGTGGCAGCTCAAGAGTCAGAACTTTGACTCTGTGATTTTCTACAAAGTTGGCAAGTTCTACGAGTTGTATCACATGGATGCTGTAACTGCAGTGAACGAGCTTGGACTGATATTTATGAAAGGTACATGGGCCCATTCAGGGTTCCCAGAAATTGCGTTTGGCAGGTTCTCTGATGTTCTAGTTCAGAAGGGGTACAAAGTAGTCCGGGTTGAGCAGACAGAGACGCCTGAAATGATGGAGGCACGCTGCAAATCCCTGGCTCACCCAACAAAGTTTGACAAGGTTGTACGAAGAGAAATATGCCGGGTAATTACTAAAGGGACGCAGACTTACAGTGTTCTGGATGGTGATCCATCTGAAAATCATAACAGATACCTTCTGTGTATAAAAGAGAAAGTTGAAGACTCTTCTGGTCATCTACGTGTATATGGTGTCTGTTTTGTTGACACTTCTGTTGGCAAATTTTATGTTGGGCAGTTTCCAGATGACCGCCACTGTTCAAGGTTCAGAACTTTGGTGTCACATTATACTCCTGTGCAGATCCTGTTTGAGAAGGGAAACCTTTCTTCAGACACGTACAAAATACTGAGAGGCTCACTGTCTTCTTGCATGCAAGAAGGTTTGATCTCAGGCTCCCAATTCTGGAATGCCTCTAAAACACTAAAAACTCTGCTTGAGGAGGGATACTTCAAGGATAAGGAAAAGTCTGATGATGACTGTACTCTGCCTCCTGTGATCAAATCCATGACTTCAGAAAGCGACTCTCTGGGACTTACTCCTGGTGACAACAGTGAATTGGCTCTGTCGGCTCTTGGTGGCTGTGTCTTCTACCTTAACAAGTGCCTTATTGATCAGGAGCTCTTATCTCTGGCAAACTTTGAGGAATACATTCCTGTGGACATTGATCTGACCAAAGCTACTGGATCAAGTAGTTTCTTTGCAAAAACTAGTCAGAGGATGGTATTGGATGGGGTGACTCTAATGAACTTGGAAATCCTCCAGAATGGAACTACTGGCACCATGGAAGGAACGTTACTGGAAAGGATGGACACTTGTTATACACCCTTTGGAAAGCGACTCCTGAAACAGTGGATCTGTGCGCCACTCTGTAATCCTTATGCTATCAATGATCGTTTAGATGCTGTTGAAGACCTTCTGGCAGTGCCTACTAAAATGTCCGAAGTTAGTGAACAACTAAAGAAACTCCCAGACCTGGAAAGGCTGCTGAGTAAAATTCATAGTATTGGATCTCCACTGAAAAGTGAGAGTCATCCGGACAGTCGGGCCGTCTTTTATGAGGAAACCAAGTACAGCAAAAAAAAAATTGCTGACTTTCTGTCTGCACTGGAAGGGTTTAAGGCAATGAATGAGATCATAGACATGATGGAAGAAACCACTGATGATTTCAAATCCGAAATACTTAAACAAGTAGTGACCCGCAAGTCTAAAACTCCAGAGGGCCGCTTTCCAGACCTCCACACAGAGCTTAAAAGATGGGACACTGCTTTTGACCATAATCAGGCTCGAAAAACTGGGGTGATCACACCAAAGTCTGGGTTTGACCCTGATTATGATAAGGCCTTGCAGGATATAAAAGACGTGGAAGAGGATCTTCGGGAATATTTGAATAAGCAGCGCAAGCTACTTGGATTCAAAACTATGCTGTACTGGGGGGCAGGCAAGAATCGATATCAAATAGAAATTCCAGAAAGCGTAGTGACACGTGGCTTGCCTGAAGAGTATGAATTGAAGTCCACCAGAAAGGGTTACAAACGCTACTGGACCAAGGAGATCGAGACGATGCTGGCTGACATGATGAATGCTGAGGAGCGGAGAGATGCGGCTGTGAAAGATTGCATGAGGCGACTCTTCTACAACTTTGATAAAAACAACAAAGACTGGCAAACAGCAGTGGACTGTTTTGCTGTCCTAGGTAAGCTTTTATCTAGAGACTTATCAAGTTAGTAAGGGAACTCCCTGCTGTCCGATGGTGCTAAGTTACTGCCACCCTGATCGTGGCAAACTAAAATGAACCATGGGCCAGTTGCAAGTTTTCCATAAAAGTCCTGAGCTCAGCAGTCTGTGGTGCCTCATCTGAGGATGAAAATGACAAGTGGCTGCCTGACTCAGTTTTCTCCAGTGCCACTATAAGACAGGAGAAATTGTTGGCTGGTCCCTGCAGTGTTTAATTTTTTTTTTTTTTGGTCTGTGCCACATGTAAAGGAGCACACGTGGCCAGCAACATCCTCCTCCACGGTTCAGGGTACCTTGGTCAGCAAGTCCGTGTTACCTAGGAATTGTAACCCTAGATTAGGAGCTTGCATTCCCTGACGGGTGCAGCATCCCAGCTACTGCTGCACAAAGGATTCTTAATGGAACTATGTGAACCTGTAGCCTAGCCAAGACCAAGTATTGTTTCTCCCTTCTTCTTGGGCTGGTGCCCTGTCCACTGTTTTTGCAAGATACCAGCAAGTAGAAGGTCTTCCTAACTTCTTTATGTCTTATGAAGTTGAGGGGCAGAGGGGGTGGAACAAGTGAGAGAGCAGAGCAACAAACTAACTCCCTTGGATCCCCGTCTTACTTTTGGAAGGAAGGGTGATCTGGTGTGTTCACCTTCCACCTCTGCAGAACTGTAAGCACTGTTGTTACTTTGGGGAATTTTTTCCTAGCATGAAGCAGTTTTGAAATGTGCTCCAGGCAATAGTGAAAAAAAAGCTAGTAGTGCTAGTGAACAGGGTCTGTGATCAAGCACTCGACTTGGAGCCGCACCAGCTCCAAAGGTGACACACATTGCCCATAATAACAGTATGGATTTGTGTCCCCCTTTGATAGGACCACAGCCTTTCAGTATTTTAAAACTTCATTGAAATACATTTCAAGTAATACTGCAGCAAAAATAATGCAGTTAAATGCCTTTTACCACTAAATAATTCATTGTCATGGAAACAGGTTTTCCTCCTTGGTTTTTAATCTGAAAAAGGGGAAAACAGTGCAAGATGCAGTAAGTAAAACCACAGCTGAGCTTGTTTGGGTTGGGGGGGGGGGTTCGTTTTGTTTTTTTGCCTTCAAACGTAAGCTTTAGGCAGATGATAAAGGTTTATAAAGTGGTGCCCTAATAAACGAGTAATATCTTCAATAAAATATACCCTAGGAAGCGGGGTCCTCTGTTCTCAGATATTCTTGGAATGTGCAGAACAGAGAAAGGGAGTAACCTAAATTAAAGACATTTCTCTGATTTCTGTAGATGTCCTGCTGTGCTTTGCTAATTATAGTCGAGATGGTGAAGGACCAATGTGCCGACCTGTGATTCTGCTGCCAGAGAACAATGTTCCACCCTTCTTGGAGCTTAAAGGTTCCTGCCATCCATGCATTACAAACACTTTTTTTGGGGATGATTTTATTCCCAATAATATTGTGATAGGCTGCAAGGATGAAGATGAAGAGAGCACTAGTGAAGCCTACTGTGTTCTAGTAACTGGCCCAAATATGGGTGGCAAATCTACACTCATGAGACAGGTGACTGTGGAATATGGCTCATTTTTACCAATTACTAATTTACTTTGCATAGAGGAATTATTATTTAACAGCATGATTTGAAATTTGTTCACCTCCTATACCTGTATAGTTGGCAGCATACAGCAATGCTACAGCAATTTAAACTATGGCATAAAAATGCAGTAGGTGTTTAGATAGGTTGGGGGTAACTAACCTACTTAACTTAGCCAGGAACAAAAGGGTTAAAATCCAGACTGTCAGAATGTGCTGAAGGGTCTTTAATGGCCACATAAGGTGCAGGACTTCAGCTGTTAAACTTAATCTGTCAGTGGGTGCTTTTCACAACACACTTCCCCTGCTGGCATATTGGGGTGTTGATTCATGACACGTTTGGGTGCATGGGAGCTTGTGGGAGAGGGGGGAGGAGAGTACCAGGTGATAAGCTCAGACTTCCTGCAGTACTCTGTTCCTTTAGAGATTTGTGGGAGTATTAACTAGGTTCAGTCCCACTTAGCCTGAGCTCTGTACACTCTAGCAGCTTTATGCAATGCAGTGTCGGTTGGGGAGGAGCAGGGGGGAGGAAATGCAGTTTGTTTCCTTTGTTCTCGCTGGAGAGCTAAATCCCAAATGAGCACATGGAACGAGAAGTCTCTTCAGCTTTTCATAGATACATAGATGCTAGGGTCGGAAGGGACCTCAGTAGATCGAGTCCAACCCTTTTATCCTTTCTCATTTGGCAGGCTGGCCTCCTGGTAATAATGGCTCAGTTGGGATGTTACTTACCAGCCGAAGCTTGCAGGCTTACTCCTGTTGACAGAGTGTTTACACGACTAGGTGCCTCGGACAGAATTATGTCAGGTGAGTTCCTTGCATTCCTACGAATCGTATCAATCCTAGAGAAGTCAGGCTGGAAGGGACCTCCGGAGGTCATCTAGTCCAACCTCCTGCCTGAGCCAGGGTCATCCCTATCCAAGCCACTCTGTACAAATCCATTGTCTAACCTCTTAGCAAAATTGTACAGTCAACCCTGACACAACACAAGATTTAATGCCTTAATCTGCCATAGGTAAAATGAGGGGGACCAAGCTGCCAATGTCCTGCTTCTGTAAAGGTTGTTAAAAAAAACACTCAAGAGATCCCAGGTGGAGGGCCATGCCCCTTGCTACAGAGGAAAACAAAACCCCCCACAGTCCATACCAATTTGACCATGGGGTAAAATTCCTTCCTGACCCCAAATATGGCAATTGACCTGACCCTAATTGGACGGCCAAGACCATCTAGCCAGGAACCCCCAGCTTCGAATCCCAGCAAATGTACTGGCAAACCCCAGTCAAAGTCCCCAGCTCTGACTGCAGCCAACACCCCATGCCTCTGAGGAAGACTAAAAAACAAAAAAAAAAAACCCCTGACATGCAGCAGCTGGGAGTGGGAGGTGGAGAGCAGACTTCCCTTGCAGCCCTGTGCAGCAGCCAGCAAAGCCCAGGAAAATGAGAAATATCTATAGGGTATAGCTACATCTAGATCATCCCTGATCAGTGGCTGTCCAGCCTCAAACACCTCCAGTGATGGAGAGTCTACAGCTTTCTTAGGCAGTCTATTACACTGCCTCACTGTTCTACCAGTGAAGAAGTTTTTTCCTGATAACCAGGGATCCTGGTTTTCTCTGATAAAAAAAATAAATAAATAAAAAAATCCCCAACTTTTGGTTAAAAAAAGGTAACCCCAAATTGATATTTTTCCATGATTAAAATGGAGCACCACAATATATATATCCATAATGGTGTTTTATTTTAATCATGTAAAAATGTCGATTTGGGGTTACTTCTTTTTAACCAAAAATTGGGGATTTTTTTTTTTAAATCGGGAAAAAAAACCAGGATCCCTGCTGATAACCAGCCTAAACCTACTTTGCTGCAATTGCAAACCACTGGTCCACATCCTCCACTCTTCAGCAAGAGAGAAAAGGTGCTTTTCCTCTTTATGGCAGTCCTTCAGGTATTTGAAGACTGCTGTCATGTTTTCTCTTAAGCATCTTTTCCACAAGATGAACTTAGAATCATAGAAAATTAGGAAATTGGAAAGGACCTCCAGAGGTCATCTAGTCCAATCTCCTGCTCAAAGCAGGACCCATCGCCAACTAGATCATCCTAGCTAAGGCTTTGTCTTACCTGAGTCAAGGGTGGAGATTCCAAAACCTCTCCGGGTAACCTGTTCCAGTGCTTCACCATCCTAGTGAGAAAATTCTTCCTAACATATAACCTAAATTTCCCTTCCTACAAATTGAGACCATTGTTCCTTGTTCTGTTATCTGCCACCAGAGAACAGTCTAGCTCCATCTTCTCTGTAACAACCCTTCAGGTAGACAAAGGCTGCTATTAAATCCCCACTCAGTCTTCTCTTCTCTAGACTAAACAAGCCCAGTTACCTCAGCCTCTCCTCATGTCACGTGCCCTGGCCACCTCACCATTTTTATTGCCCTTTGCTGAATTCCCTCCAATGTGTCCACATCCTTTCTGTAGTAGGGGACCCAAAACTGAACACAGTATTCCAGATGTGGCCTCACCAGGGCTGAATAGAGGGAAAGAATTGCTTCTCTTGATCTGCTGGCAACTAATCTACTAATTCATCCCAGTATGCTGTTAGCTTTCTTTGCAACAAGGGCACACTATCCAGCCTGCTGTCCACTGTACTTCCCAGGTCCTTTTTTGCAGAGCTGCTGCTTAGCCAGTCAGTTCCCAGCTTGTACTGGTACATAGGATTGTTCCATCTTAAGTGCAGGACTTTGCAGTTCTCCTTCTTTTGGCCCAATCCTCTAATTTATTGAGGTCACTCTGAATCCTAGCCCTACCATCCAGTGTATCTACTACTCCCCCAACCTTGGTGTCATCTGCAAACTTGCTGAGGGTGCACTCCATCCCATCTTCCAGATCATTAATGAAAATATTGAACAAAACCAGACTTAGGACTGACCTCTGGGGCATTCCACTTGGTACCAGCTGCCAACTAGACATCATGCCATTGATTACTACCCTGTGAGCCTGATGATCCATCCTGAGTTTTCTGTCCAAACAGGCCCAACTCTTTCAGCCTGTTTGACTTGCTTTCCAGGACTGAGTAGGTGGTTGAAGTACTTGAGAAGAGTTGGACAATTTGCTCTGTTTTTCTCCACTAGCTTCGACACTTGAGTATACCTCTCCACTGCCACTAGGCTGAATGCAAGGCCTGAAGCACTATGTAGAACTGGTCACCTCCTCTGCGTTACTCCCCTGCGTCTTTCTGTCCTGCTGCCTTCAAGGCATTATTTGTCTGCCATGTTTTTGGCAGGAGATAGATGGCTTCTGGTGAGCTTTGAAATTGGGGACTGCATTGCTTGCAGATAGGTACAAGGTTTTTTGGATATGGTGCAGCTTATTGTAGTTCCACATGAGGCTGCTAAGAATAAACATGCTTTTCCAAGTATTGTGGAACAGATGTCCACCTGCTCCTTAGACTGTTATGATGATCAGGGTCTCTTCTAGGGAGGCCTTTTGTACCTTCGTAGTATCCAGAGTAAAGTCAGTTCTGCCAAGGACCAAATAGCTTCAAATTTTAAAAGGTCTCCCAAGGCTAAGTCGGGCATGCTTATAGGATGACAAAAGGACAGAGGCTTGAGAGAGAATTGGTCTGGATTTCTTGTGGTGGTTTTGTCTCCTATTTAAGAAAGAAGATGAAGGAAGTGAGGAGGTTTATTGCTCAGAAGAAATGTAAGGAATTGGTTGTAGGGCATAAGACAGAACGGGACATAGAAGGACTTACTGCTTCTGTTACTACATAGCAGTGGTCTCATACCATATATAAGGAGGCCATAGGAGTGCCAGGGATTGCCTAGGTGGAGAGGAAATAGTTGTTGATCTTGAGCCAGTAGATGCAGAAGTCACATAATGGCTTGTGTGGGAAGGAGCAATGGTTGCATGTTTTGACCAGTTCTTCAGTTCTACTTCATGCTCCTGTGTCTGTAGTCATGGTGGTCTCGATGCTACTACACTGGTTGAGATACTAGTAGAGGAGCCTTGTTAGTGTGCAAAGGGGTGGAAACGGATGAAGTCATGTAGTGGAGCAGATACAAATGCTTGACAAAACATTTTCTTTTTTAAACACATTAAAACATTCTGCTGCTGGTGTTGCTTGGGATTATCAGTGACTTCTCAAGCCATCTGAAACTTCAGCTTCCTGTCTTGAACAGTTGCTGGTAGGAAAGGCCACTTTACCAGAGTGGGGAAACTGCACACTAAGTTTCTTGCAGTAGAAAGATGGAATCTGCAAGCCAAACTTGCTTTTGAGGGTTCTAATGTCTAGTGCCTGGAGACAAACTTGCTTATTTGTGTCTTCAGAAGCAAGCTTTACCCAGCAATTCTTTCTGGTTTGGAGAGAGAAAAATCAGCTCTGGGTATGTCCAGTCAATTAGTCACTTTCTAGGATGAGACTGCAAAGTATATAAGGCTCTTTTCAGGTGCTAAGGCTTGGAAGTATAGAAACAATTTGCATGCTCAGGAACTGGGCAGGTATGCACCATGCTGTTTGACAGGCCTGCATGTTAAATCCCTGCTCTGTCGATTTGCTTTGTTCTGTTTTTTATAGTGTAGCTGTTCTGATTTCTAACTCTTCCTTTTTTTGGTCCCAGAATCTGTGGTCCTCATTTAGGAGATAGTGTGTAGAAGGTCATCTGGTGCTGTTGTAGGCATCTTATGAGCATCTAACAATACAATGGAGTTCATGAAGACTTGTAGAAGTCAAAATGGAGCACCTGTCAAGGGAGGAGTTTAGCAAACCAAGGGAGAGAAGTTTTTGGATGAATACAGGCACTGACCTTTTTGCTAATACCTCTGCTTAGCATCTACAAAAGTGCTTAGTTTGGGCCCTACTACCTATTATCATTCCATTTCTTTGTAAATCTCTACTGGTTGTAGAACAGAGGCTCCCTCCGGTGTGCGTGCTAAATTGCAAAACAGATTATCACATTGTAAGACCTGCCTTGTTCTATATAAAGCAAAGTATTTTTTCTCCTATTCCTATTTCACTGTCTAATAACAGACTTTTGCTGTGTAAATGTGGCGAGTAAACATTTACAACTATATCAGGGTTTTTTGGGGGGGTTTCTGTTGCCCCCCCACCTTTGGTAGTGTTGTAGCAGTGATAGATGGTCCAGGGAGCATAAAAGTAGTAGGATTTGTTTGGTAATATCTCTTACTGGAGCAACTGTATGCCTGAGAGAGATTAAATGATCTTTTTGGCTTAAAATGCCCTTCTTTGGCCTTGAGTCCCAGGAAAAGCTTTTGCATCTGACATCTTTCCCAACTATGTAGACTTCCTTTGCAGTTATGGAATCAAATTAACTCTCCTGAGGTGGCCTTTTTGTCTTGTATTTTTTCCCCATTTTGTTTCTATTGGAAAACTTTTTCTAAATTGTAGTAGAAAACCAAAATGGCTTTTCATCTGTATAAAGAATGTGGTCTAGACTCTAGAGAGCTGCCAGCGTGTAACCCCCACACACAGAGAGGGAGGGAGAGAGAGATGCGGCTTAGAATACCACATACACCTATGCAGAGCTGATACTGCTTTTCATATGACCATGGGATGTAGATAATTGCATGAAAGGAGCCAGCTTTGTAATCTGGTTCTTTCAGTATAGCATTGTTTCAATTACTTCTTTGTGAGGAAATATTTATAGCAGCAGAATGAAAGCAGCTCTGTGGAAGGCACTGTAGAGGAAAAAGTTAGACCTGAAATAAGGAGGAAGCTTCAGATTCTTGGGTATAATTATACACTCTCAAGAGAACTTCTTGGAACAACTTCCACCTTGTCAAAGCTTAAGAAGAACTGCTGGTTCCATACACCAATGGGATTTCCCCCCCTATATTTTGATGCCAGGACAAGTTAAGGTTCTATCAGGCTTCATTTGCTGATTTTTAAATGACTGTTGCAGTTCCCTGTGTTGCATGTGTGCAGGCACTCTCAGTGTGTGCACAAAAGTACATCTTAGCTGCTTTATAAGGGGAGGAAAGAGATGCAGTGCTCAGGAGCACAGAACAGGTGCGTAGCTATCTAACAGTTGTAGGGGCATCTCCTGTAGCAACAGAAGTGAGCTAAACTGCCCTGATTCTTATCCTGAATGAAGCAGTGGTAAATTGGGGTAGTTTTAACGACGTATCTATCACTAGAGAATCATGCACGTACAACTGTTGCACTGGTATCCTTTAATACTGATGCAGTTTCTTTTCCCCTCTTATCCCTAAGCACATTTGCAGTTTAGATTTGTACCCAGGTAAATGCTAGCTGGGTAAGCCCTTTCCTGTTGTGCAGTGACCTTGCATTCAGTTATTTTAGGTGGTGGCTTGGATTAAGTAAGATTTGCAAAGAATTATAAACTGTATTGAACTTCATATATCACTTTGTTAAAATGTGTATTTTGTTAGAAAGTAAAGGACTTTTAAGACTAGTCCTCAGTTTTGCTGGCAGGTCTTTCAGGGGAGTCTTTGGATGAATTTGTATTAATTGGAACTGAAAAAAGGTACAGATTCATACAAAAGTTGATCCCCCCCCCCCCCCCAAAAAAAAAAAGAATACCGAGAACACTGAGTGCAATATAGGTCTCTTTCATACTAATAATCACCCCCCCCCCCCCCCCCCCCCCCGAAAAAAAGAAGAGCTATCCTCCTCCCTTCACAGTGAAGAATAATGGAGGGAAATTCTGAGAACCATAGGATGGAAAAAACTATATTGTAAAACCACCATTACAACTCCTATTGGATTTACTAACATCTTGAAAGGCTGCTTTTCATTCCTTTATAAAAGATCAAAGAAGGGGGCCGATCCATCCTTTTCAGGAGGTAAGCCTGTTTCATGAATGTTGTTCAAATTGCACAGGCCAGGGTGATTCTTAGAATTGCCAAGTTTTACTCAACTGTCCATTCCCCTTTTTAAGAAATAAGTATTTAACAGGTCAGCTTGTATCACTGCCCTTAGCTCTAAGAAGAGCTGTAGCTGTTGGTCACCTACTACAGTAGAAACTTCCAGCAAGCTGAAATATGTCCAGTTATTTGCTTTTTTTATAGATATAAAACGTGTGTTTTCCTTTCAGGAGAAAGCACCTTTTTTGTTGAGCTGAGCGAGACTTCCAGCATACTCCAGCATGCAACAGAGCATTCCCTTGTGCTTGTGGATGAACTAGGTATTTTAGCTATTCTGTATGCAGAAGCTGAAGTAAAGGCTCACTGCACGGCTGAACATCCAAACTGCTGACACAGTATTTAAAAAGTGGTTTTACCACATGCTGCTAATAACCATGCAGGCATTAAAATAGCTGGGTATCTCCTGAAAAATGACTACTGGCTCTAGGGGACCCAGTGCTGGCCCCATTAAAACACTATTAACTTGCTCTACCTGAATTTCCCATTCCAGCTAATTTGCATGATTCACTTATACCATGCAGTAGATACTATGGGATAAAAACTGCTCTGAATTTAAAAGGGACTAGTAATTTTTAACTGGTCTGGTATTGCTATTGTCCTTTATTCCCTTGCCAGTGTGTGGTTTTATCTTTCACTGTTGTCTTCAAATGTTTACCTTTCCTGTTGCTGTAAAAAGACCTATGCAAGCCAGGTGATTATACATGGTAATAACAACTCTTATCAATATGTCATGTCTTCACTGGTAATTACACAAGACTAGATCAGTAATTTGGGGTGGGGGGACATCCTTTTAAATGCAGTACTAAGGGGTGAACGAACTCTGCTAAAGTAGTGTGTTTGTTTCTCTTTTCTGGTTAAGTAAAGGCTTTTATTCCTCTTGCAGGTAGAGGCACAGCTACTTTTGATGGAACAGCAATAGCAAGTGCAGTCGTTAAAGAACTTGCAGAAAATGTAAAGTGCCGCACATTGTTTTCAACACACTACCATTCATTAGTAGAAGACCATTCACACAACGATGCTGTGCGGCTAGGACACATGGTATGTACAAGCTGTTAAACTTAACACCTCTTGGAAGAAAAGAGGTTACCACCAAAAAAAACCCAACGCTTTTGAGAGGGAAAATGCCATTATTAAAAAATAACTTAAACCAGTGAATTTCTTTTTAGGCATGCATGGTTGAAAATGACAGTGAAGATCCAAGCCAGGAAACTATTACATTTCTGTATAAATTCACTAAGGGAGCTTGTCCTAAAAGCTATGGTTTTAATGCAGCAAGGCTTGCTAACATTCCAGAGGAAATTATTCAGAATGGTCACAGAAAAGCAAGAGAGTTTGAAAAGATGACGCTTTCACTTAGAATGTTTAGGTAAGTTTTTTTTTCTATCCAGCTTCTCTCCATGACTTCATAGAGCAGATGCATGCGTAAAAGTTAACTCTTCTAGCACTAGTCGATACTTATTGGAGTCTTGGACCAGACTGATGTTGCTACATTGCTAAACAGCAGGGGGCAGTGGTTCCTTTCAAGTTTCTACCTGGCAACTATTTCTGTTTCTTTAGTACAGTTATATTAAGAAACACTGTAGTTTTATTCACTAAGCCCTGGCAACTGTATGTAGGCTCATACCTTAAGAAAAAACAAGTAAGGAAGCTTTAAGTGTTGAATACCATAAAGTACCTGGCTCTCGTTACATTTCCCTACTTCCTCCTTCTGTTCTTTTCAGTTTTTAATATTATTCTCAAGTGGTGGTTGCAAAGATTCGGTGACTAGAAACATATTTTGTCTCTTTTTTTTTTTTGTCTGTCTGCCTGAAACACTTGTTTAAGCTGAAAAAGTGTCATACTTTTCTTCTTTTTAAGGTACCTTTGTTTGATGGCAGAGGATGCAACAGAAGATAAAAGTGCTGTTCAGAAACTGATGAGACTGATCAATCATCTTTAAGCTATCGCAGCAAGTTTTATAGTGGCGGTTCTTAAAAAGGTGGTATGCAGACACTGTTATGATCTAATAAACTTTATTTTTTAAAAATGACCATTTTTCCATTTTCTTTCCTAGGAAATTAAACCCTTTTAATTCTTACCTACCCTCTACATAATGGTTATTGAATACTCCACAATATATTAAGTCTAGATGTTATGGTACATGCATACACTTTCAGGCTGTTGATTACCCACTGTCACCAATACACATAAATGGAAAAAAAGCTATGAAACTGTATAGGGCTGTATATATACTTGTCTCAGCTTCATTATAGCAGGAAATTGCTGTGATTTCCAGCAGTTAATGTAAGTAATGTCCAGACTGTTCAAAAAAAAACTATGAACAGAGTAAAATACAAGACTGTTTTGAGGAGACTTTCTAATGTGTACTTTAAAACATAGTAAAACTTTCATTCACAAAACTTAGTTACATGGGTACTTTGTTTTATAGTGCATTATATCCTAGGAAGTCTCATTAAAACACTCGCTTTTTGTTAGGGTGATTTGAGTACAGACTATTGCTGGGGCAGGGAAGGAAATTATTCTAACTTCGAGGATACCAGAAAAATTGCTGGATATAATTTAAGATTAGTGTTTTCTCTTTCATAGAAAGAACGTACATACTGGGACATGAGTACAGTTACAGCAAGTCTAGGTGTGCTAACAAAACAGGACACATTCAAGTACAATAAGATTTTTTGCTTGAAATTAAAAACAAACTACATGAGATTAAAGCATTAAAATCATATTTCTCAATCTGAATAAATGTTAAAAAAATCAAAAGAAATGCAGAAGTGCTAGCTCACATTTTTACCATGTTACAAAAGCAATTGGTACCCATGTCCATAAAGGCAGCAACAAAGAATGCTGCTTGTCTACAGAATAGTACTACTGCAAATTGGACTGCGTTTCAATGCTACTTGTAAAAACACCAGCTTTTCAGAAGTTGGTATCTGTACAAAATTGCAGCTTATTTTCTTCACTTCTGTCCCTTCAAAGTCTTTGTTTACACAGTAATGCTAAAACGCCCAGTTCTGTTATCCTGAGTCAACATATTGCCACTTTCTTTTTGGTAGGTTGAGCTCCATAGTGTCAACACCTTACACATCCATTTAATACAGTCTCTTTCTGCAGAAATGGGCAAGTACAACTTCCTCCAAAAAAAAGTTTAACAGTTATGATATTAGAATGGCAGGACTTTCTTTCTGACAAGGTTCAGTTGTGCTGCAATGTATTTGATTCTATAGGTGGAGCAGAGTCATATAGTGTATCTGTATCATGTGTAGGCTCTCCAGCAAGTGTACAGGGATTAGACAGTGTTCCAGCACCACAGTCACAGAAAAACCTGTAAAGGAGAAGGAAAAGGTAAGTGAAAACCAAACTAGCTTTATACTGGAAAGGCAAAGCTGCTCAGCCAATGTAATGCCACACCTACCTATCGTGTCTAATAAATTCTACATCATGTCCTTGATGGCACTTCTTAATGCAGTTTACACATATGGCATTACGGTCTGTGGTGTTACAGGTGTGACATCTAAAGTAAAAATACAGATCATCAGGCACCATCTGAAAACTGACAGGTACTGGAGAAAATGCCAACTGCTTTTTGGGGTAGCAACATAAATATAAGAGTCTATCAAGTACTTGAACTTGTCAGTTCTTTAATAACTTGCACTAGGTAACCATGTCATTTAAGCATACTAAAGGAATGTTACATGAGAAAGTAGTATTATCTTCCCTTACATTTTGTGCTTCACAAAATGTTTATAAAATGTGTTACCTGTAGAAGTCATGCATTGGGTAGCTGGTGTAACTCGATATCTTGTATAAGCACTGGCCTCTACTGACAGCCTTTTCAATGGCATCTTGATTGTTCATTATTTTGTTATCTATTTAAGAAAAGAAAGAACAAAAAACCTACTTAATGTCTCAAAGAAACCCACACAATAAAACACGGTGCTACCAAACAGGTAAGTGAGAACTCTGTGCCAGGAGTTCAAGCAGTAGGTCCCAAGTTATAGTGCAAAATCTGATCTGTGAAATAACTAACTCATCTTAGTCTAACTGAGGATTTCAGCTTGGCTGGGTTTTAATACCCAAATTGGAAAGGGCTACCAATGAAATCCTACCTGAGTGATGAACACCCTCCCCTTGTACCTCACAATCTCCGTTTTTTAGATCATGGTTCCCTCCATTCTGCAGGCAAGTTTTTTTTACAGACCTTTTATAATGGTGTAAAAGGTCACTTTTGGCAGAACTGAGAATAGGGCAGAGGTTTCAGTCACTCTGCTTCTGAGAATGTGCTTATATAGGTCATGCCTGGCTATCTTGTGAAGTAATTTATTAGAACACACTATCAACCTCAAACCAAGAATAGACTTCATGAGCCCTGGGACCTTAATTCATCCCAAACTTGTATAAGCTAGGGACATTTGCACTTCCAGATATTAAGTCTACTGCTGTCTTTTACCTGTAAGCTGGTTTTGATGTGGCTGAGTCCCAGATAAAAACTGAAGAAAATTAAGGGGCCAAAACAGGACATGACAACTCTGGAGTCAACCTTCACTAGAAACACTTCAAGTTTGTAAGTTAAAACTTTATGCAAAGCACATTAAATAAATGGCATAATTGTTGATACAAAGTGTTCTAAATCCCCTCTTCCTCAAAAGGTGACTTCAAATTTATGTACTTACATTAAGTATTTTACAAATTAACATATAAAGCAAAGTTTCTCAACTGTACTGGCTGGAGACTTGCTTTCAGCCACATGATATGACCTCCTATACCATAATTTTCTTCAGTGTCTTGTTTTCAAAAGGAAGTTTTGAGTAGATGAGTCTACTGACAAGCTGCTAATCAGTAAGGCTGTTTTTTTCTTTTTAAAAGAAGAAACAAAAAACCCAACAAAACACACAACCAAAATTCTCCAGTTTACACCCCCCACCTTCCACATTTTTTCCATTATGGCATTTTGTTTTAATCATGGAAAGATGTGGATGGGGGGTGGGGGTTAAACAGGAGAATTGTTTTTTGTTTTTAAAATCAGAAAACCCTGCAAAAGGAACTTGGATAGCAGTTTTCATATTTCCTTCAGGTGAAAGTTTGGGTAGAGTAACTTAAGATGCAGAACTGAACTAAAAACAGACAAGCTGGGCTACAACTAAACTTCAGCATATATGAGCAAATGCAAAAAGCCACACACCTTTCATTGTTACATTGACACCAGATGCTAGAAATAAGCCTCCAAACCGATTGTTGAAAATCTGATTGCCTTCCAACGTTGCAGTTGCATGATTTGTTATTTCAATACCTTTAATGGAAGGGGGGGGGAGGGAAGAGAGAAATCAAAGGGTTTAGGTTACTGTTCATTTTGGTCTCAGCAGCTACTTTTTACCAATTTGTACTTTCTACTGTCAGTCAAGAAAAACACAAAACTGGCAAAGCAACTAAGATCTAAAAATGACATTGTAACAAGTATAAGGCTAAGTATTTTCACAGCATCCTTTCATGAAAAGATGAGGCTAGCATCCATATTTTCAGAGTAATCAAACAGTTTCTTAGACAACAAGACAGCATCTTGACTAATACTTTTGTAAGTGACAGATCCTGGGAGACAACTTTATTTAAATGCTAAGAAACATCTGAGCGCTCATGATCTGAACACAAGACATTTTAAAGAAAAGTATCAAGGTCTAAAAGTCACTTGAATAATCTTAGTCTTAACCAACGATTGGCCTCCAAAGTGAGAGAGCCAGAACTGCTCTTGGCAACAACGAACCCCCCTCCCCCCCAACCCGCTTCCCTTTCATCACACAAGCATGACCTTTAAAGGTTTCCTTAGAGGAACTTCCTTTTTCTGAAAGAAGGTGAAAACTCAAGCACATATTTCCACTTTTAAAGTGCAACAGAATTAAAATTATCAACTGTTATTAAGCACTAGGTAACACACTCGTATCTCAAGCTTTTTCATGCCTCCTGCATCCAATGGAACAGAAACATTTTAGTAAAAAGCAGTTCCAAACACCTTGGATACGAGATCCTGAAATTTTCCTCTCTAAAACGGGATTAGCAATAAATTGAAAATCACCCCCTAGAAACAAAAACCTTCAACTTTTCACTTCTAAAATAAAACACAAAATAACAAAGTTTGATACATGACAATGAGGAGGAAAAGATGCATTATTTCCTGACACTATTAATTCCACAGAACAAAATCCTGCAAGCTCTAGTGCTTCAAAATTTGATCTAAGCAGTACAAACCTGCAGCAAATCCATCAAATATTCGATTTTTCCTTAACACAGGGTGACTATTGGTGCTGATAAGAACACCAGCTTGGGCGTTTCTAAAGATATCATTCTCTTCAAGGAGACCTACAAACAAAACCAACAACACACAACAGGTTTAAGGACAAAACGTCAGCCCGATTGCCTTTATTAGCTTGCTACAGGAAACTTTCTATTTAGGCCACCAATGGGAATTTCAAGAATGATGATCTCTGTCATAGTTATTCCCAATTAAATGTATCTAAAGATATATAATATAATTAGGATAATCAATACAGTAAAGGGAAAATGTGAAGCCCTATGAGCCATTAGAATAAGCTTCCAAGCTGCACCTCTAGAAGCATTATTTCATATTTAAAAGAAACCAAATCTTTCAATCTCCCTAGCACAGATTTTTTTCTGTGTTCTGTTGCTGTCCTTCCTCTATGGCCAGCATTTAGCACAAGTTTGTAAGTGCTGCTGTACCACTGCAATGCAGCCACATTCAATACTGCATTGCCTAAAATTAAGAGCTTAGCCATACTGAATGATTAACCATGCTATTTTTAATCAGCATTATGAGACTACAACAGGGTAGAACTGGATTTTTATAAAACTGAGGTACAGTCTTTCCACAAGTGTGTGAATGAATTCTCCAATCAGGCTTTTTCCCCCCCCAAAAAATATTTGAAACTGGGGAAAAACCAGAGAGAGAGAGAGAGATCCAACTCTGGTTTGACTATTAAATCAATTCCTTGTATTCTCTCAAATGAAAGATAACAAAACGTA